TTATGACTTTCATTTGTCGGTGCTTCTTTGCTCGCCTCCACCCCTCTTTGCTGCTCCTCCTCCTCCTCGTGGGTTTTATTTTCTTTTGCAACCTCGTGTCTGCGGAGATAAATCGTAAATTTGAAGATCGCTCGGCTTTGATAAAAGTCAAATGAAAAAAAAAGTGTCACACAACATGTTTGCGATAATTCCAAAAAGGCAAAAGGTGCTGCAATTATTACGCCGCATACATTACCAATTTGTTTTGTTTTGCTTGTTTCGCGTTTGTTTTGTCTGCCTTGGAGAGGGTGCGTTTTGGGAGGTTCATAAACTCGTGACTGCGATAGCCTATCTTGGGTGTTTGCAGCATGTGGTGAATTTACAAGGAAACCTTTCGCCATAAATTAATTCTACTAATTATGGGCCCAAAACGGCTGGGCATGTGTTGCTGGTCAATGCTCTTCGAAGGGTAATAAAAACCCGGAGCGAACGAGAGAAAGCCTAAAAATTTGCGTTTTCAGATGCAATTTTTTGATACAACAGCAACAACAACAGCGACAATGGAATGCGTAAAAATATTATTAAGGAACAGGAACTGGTTTCTGAATTTGTGCTCCCATTTATTTGTTCATAAAATTTAATTTTAAAGAACAAGGCAAATGATCACAACAAGACTGTTCCAATTAAAAACATCCATGTAAGATTCACAATATTACAATAATAACATTTTTACGAGATTTTTAAAATACTTTTATTTTGAATATACAAAAATTGCTAATGCTGAAAGTTTAAGCGAAAATCCTACCTCATACCAGCGACGGAGTCGAGTAATTTTGTTTGAGTCGGAGTTGAAAAAATAACTTAACTAAGTCTGGGTGTTATTATATTTTTAATCCCTAATTTTTTCTATTCAAGTTTCCGTATTTCTATTCATAAGCCTACAGGCAATGTTTCTTGGTGAATTATTCATGTCATCTTTGAAGATAAAGTTGAAGCGGAAGCTATTGGTGCCTCCTGATGGTATTCTAATTTTTAGAGAGCTTTTGGCAATCGGTTTTTTGGTAGGTAGTTTATTTTTTTATGAAAATTTTGAGTACAGATCCACTTTTTGACTTTAGATGGAGTCAGGGTACGGTTTTAATAAAGGCCTATAATTTTTGGAGAAGTTCGCAAAATATTCAGGGGATGAAATGGACCAAATTTTTATACCCTCTACATACAACACCTCGTAATATTCGTCGGAGACCCCCAAAAATGGGTCTGATCAGAATTAAATTATGAGACGATTTAGAGATGTCCACTTATCTGTCAGGTGAAATCATGCTAAAGTCCGCATTATTTAAACTAAAATTTTAAATTTGGCACAAAGTTTCATAGTATATGCAGGCTGATTTGTATTGCCCCATTTAATGGTAGTTCCCGGTTTTCGGTATTTTGAAGCCTTCTGCCAAAGTTTCGAATATAATTTAAAATAAGTTAATATACCGTCCATAGTATCGTGGAGGGTGATACTATGGACGGTATATTAACTTCGTCATTCTGTTTGTAACTCCTCGAAAAACTCATGTTAGACCCTGTCTGCCTATCTGCCCATCTCTCTGTTGTTATCACGCTATCTTTCGAACGAATTGAGATAGAAGGCTTAAATTTTGCACACATGTGTATTTTGGTTCAGATTGAGTTCAAAAATGGATCATTTCGGTCCACGTGTTCGTATAGTCCCCATATAACAGCACTTCTAAATATTTGGTAATTGGGTGATTTTAGCGATATTGTAGACCGGAATTGTTTCAAACTTCGTATTGGAAGATTGTTTTCGCATACCGCGCATAAAACGGTACTTCAGTTTTTTGGTTTTTAAATTTTGTATTTTAAGGTCCTCATGGGTACTATAGCATATGTCGAAAAACGGTATTTTTCTTAACATTTTGCCAGGTCCTTCTAAATGGTGAAGGATATAAAAATGTCGGCCTTGTCGAATTTAAAGCCCCTTTTTACTTGTTTCCTTCTTTATAGACTTAAATTTAAAGAAATTTGGAAAAATAGATTGCCAAATAATCACAATTTGAGTGAAGACATTGCTTATACGCCCTACTAACCGAAAATTGGACAGTCAACCTTGATATTTCGAATGATTTTTGATGAAGTCCAAACCAATATCCCAGTATCTCGACGAAATCGTTGATTGTATTCCAAGGGCATAACACTACAGAAGTTTTATGGTAAATTGCAGGGTGAGATGAAAAAACTGCAACCAACTTCAAACTGCTGTTATTTCTAAGCCACTCGTCCGACACCTATTAAAATTATTCCAGTTACAGCTGATTATATTGTTTACAAGCGTACAAAAACATTTTGGTAAGAATTGTCCAGAAAAAAAATATTCTTGTTGGAATTCAAGCGTGAAATTGTGATTTCTTTATATTTGGCCGGAAAGACACTAGTGGCTATCGTTAGAGCACTCCAGCATTTAAATGTGAATAAATATTAGACTCAAAAGAACTAAAAAGTAGCTTCGCTTGGCCGAAAGTATTTAACTGCCGAATTTGGTTTTCTCCGATGAGACCAGAACTCAAACGTCGGCCATGTTGATGGTGTGGACCGCCATAACAGCCGATGGTCGCCCTCCGCTCGTATTAATCGACCATGGCATCAGAATAAATGCGAATATTATCTCGGAAATATTCTGGAGGGTGTATTAAGGCCTTGGGCTCGCATACATTTTGGCCGCAGACCTTGAACATTCCAACAGGACTCAGCACCATCGTGCTCAGCACGCGCCAGCGCTCAATGGCTACCAAAATCTCCGTGAAAAAGTCCGTTAGACTATTGTGTCTGGAGGATTTTGGAAATCAAGGTTGGCGCAAAAAAATCACCTCGATCACCTCAAGCAAGCGCTTCGCCGGGAATGGGCCAAAATACCGAAGAACAAAATTCGGGCAGCGTGTGACGATTTCATTAGCCTTCAGTTTGAAGCCCATACTTCGTGCCAAAGGTGACCAATTCGAACAAACCTAAAATTTGATGCCATTTCCGACATTTCTTGCTTTCATTCAATTAAATTAGAAAAAAAATGTAACAATTATGGCGTTGGACTTTCTTGCAGTTTTTTTATCTCACCCTTTATAACCCCATTTGGGCATTTAGGAGGGTTAGACCGAAAATTCTGTCTAAATCATGGTCCGAGGTTTATTTCTTTGGTTAAGGTTCCATATAACGTTATCCTTTTTTTGGTAGTTCGAAGGGTTTGGATTTAGTTTTTTTTTTATGTGGGTGTACCTCTAGATATTTTACAAAAAATGTATTCGTTTTGACATAAGCTTCACATAGCAGTACCGTAATTTTTAGTGTTTTTTGAAATCTGAATGGCTGCACATACCCTCGCAAATATGTACGTATATATAACTAATACTGCTGTAATATCTTGCATGTGGCAATAATTTTGGATTATGAAGCTGGGTGGGTATGCGGCGCGAGGCTACTGTTGACGTATGTTTTCGATTTTGTCCAGGCTTTGTACAGCGTAACATTTTCAGCAACATTTTTTTCGAGTACAGTCCAATGCTTCTGATAAAAAATTTCTGATAAAAATTTATTTAATTTGAATATTTATCAACACAACGTATTTAAATTTTGAATAAAATAACCGCACCAAAGTGTAACAACTTCCTCCGATTTTCTTCTTCAAAGTTCGTAAATTCTTATAATAAATTCAGCTTATATCAATGTGACAATGTTAAATTTTTTTGAAAAATTATAGATCTAACACGGCGATTTGGTCAAAATTTAGATGTCGTAACAATCTTAGGTCCCACTTGAATTCAAATAATCTTAACTCCCATGATATTTGAAATCAGTCTCCGATTCCCCGAACTTTACAAATCACGATAGGGACTTAAATAGGATAGGGACCAAGGTAGTATTCTTCCCGAAAGACTCTCCAAAACTGTATAGTTAAAAAAATCAGACGGTTAGACAACCGGTAGACGAGTACCGTGAAGGACCTAGGACCCGTTTGTGGGAAAGATACCAGAAAGAGTGGACCGAGATTGACCCTCTCCAAACTCGAACTAAATTTGATTAAAATATATCGATGTACCAAGCTACAATGTACCCTGACTTCTTTCTATACTCATAAAATTCAGTTATCACATATTTGAAGTGTAATAGTGGTAATAATTCGTCCTCGCAAAATCTCTTGTCGGGAGAAATTTCCATGTGATCTTCAAGAGTATCCATATGATTAACTCGTTTGGCCTCACATTCATGTTCGCTGTAATTATGAGCAAATGCAAATATAAGAATAATTTAATTGCTGTCAATGTTCGCAAATTTGCATCAAGCTGATTCGACCTCATATTATACATGTGTCATACTTTCCAATGGATGTCTTTGTCAAACAAGATAAACAAATGTTACAGAAAATAGCTCTTTCACTTTCATTAAATATATCATATGTGTTTGTGCCAATAACCTAAGGAGATTTTGTGTGTAAGATTTGATCAGATGTTCGTGTCTTAAGTCTTTTGTTTATCGTATTGGGAAAGAATGTCAGAAAAATTATTATCAAAGTTTCAATATTTTTTTTTTTTTGGGGTCTGAAGGTCCATGAACCCTATAGAACATAAAATTTGAACATTTATAGAACAAAAAGTTTTGGGCTTAAGCCTGCTCAAAAGAAAAATAGACATTTAACATTTTATTATTTTCATTAAAAAATATTAAGGAACCCATTCATTCGATTAAAAAGTCGCATAAAACTTTTAATTGCAGAATCAAACCAATAGTTCAGATGCAATGATTTATTCCTTAAAGTAAATGTATTCCATTCAATTTGTAATGCTTTATTGTTTTTTCACACAACACTGTCTTCAATAAAAAACAATATTTTTTTATATTTTTTAAATTTGTTTTTCGTGTTGTAAATTTTTAATATTTTTTTTTTTCCAACAATTATTTTTTTTAATATTCTTATGAATTTTGTTTATTAATTATTTTTTTTTTCATTCAATAATTCTTACAATTATTCTTTCACAAACACAGTTTGGGCAGTTTGTTTATAAATTTGTTTTCTCGACAAACGATTTACGCGATCATACGCTTTGGCGTGACAAAACACGTTGAAGACACGAGTCACACTGATTTTGCTAAATGCAAACGATTCAACTCCAAGTCTTTTTTCCCCCTACAGTTGAGAAATGAAAATCGTACTTCGCCAGCAAACATCGCTGCGAAAAAAAAAATAAAACAAAACAACACACGTCTGAGCAAAGCGGTTATTGTATTTTCATCAAAACAAGCAGCCAGACAACAAACAAAAGAGTGAGTACATCAACCGATCAAACCGGGTTTTCTCAGAGCAGCAACAACAACAACAAGGGCATTGTCTAGCGAAAAAGCTCTCGGCAACATGTTTGAGAGACAGTTGGCCAGCCGCTCATCCCACAGCAAGGTAATAGTTATGTGCGAAGAACCAACCAAAACAGAGTGGAACTGAAGTAATGGAGAAATTGTTTACATTTTTAGTAGAAATAAATGAAATTCTTTGGTGTTGAACAACATGTTGCTGAAACACAACGTTAAATGGTTGTAGGAATGTTGAAGCCGGTGTTAATTATTGTTTAATATTTTTTTGTATTGTATTTACCTCTAATTCTACAATATTTATTGTCAATTACTAAACTGAGATCAAACTAAACTTAGTATGTCTTGAAGGGACAATGCTCGTGTCTTAAGTCTTTTGTATTTTTGAAATCATAATACAAAAAATTCTAAAATATTTATAAATATGATATTTACCTGGTATAACAAACTGCAAAAGGGACTTGTGGGTATTTCCACTAACCTATTTATTACCTTTTATATACGTTCTTGCCTTTTATATACGTTGCCTTAACAACGTTCGATAGCGGAGATTCATGTTTACCACCAGACGTTGCCATATTTTTGATAGATATTTAGTTTGATTTTCAGATTTCTGTAGTAAACCCAGATACAAATTAACTTCTATATTAAGTATCTCTCAAGACTAAGCCATATTTTGGAAATAAATTTAACCGAATTTTGCCTCATAAAAACTAATAACCCTTTCTGCGAAAATTATAACTTATGTTCACATTTTGGCACCATAGATAAGGAATATTTTGAAGAGCCTTTCTCTTTATCGATTTGATGCCTACAGATGTATACCCTCAGCCATGCGTTATGTTTTCTCCAACTGTTGCTTCTCCAAGGAGGAGGACGTTCCGCCCAATATTATCAATTTTATATCTGTTCTAAGTCTGATATAACTATTACGGAGTGAGATGAAAAAACCACAACCAAATTCAGACTGCTGTCATATCTAAGCCACCCGTTCGACAGTGACAGCTCATTATATTGTTTACAAGCGTATAAAAGCCTTTTGGTGAGAATTTTCCAAAAAAAAAAAGTTATTCGTGATAGAACTCAAGCTATCGTTAAAGCACTCCAGCACTTGAATGTGAATAAATATTTTGTGTCTCGTACCATCGCTCGTTACCATGATACTGGTAGCGTAGCCCGGCGTCAAGGAAGTGGACGGAAGAAAACAGCAACATCAGCAGAAATGGTTCGAAAAGTGGCCGAAAAATGGCTCGGCGACTGAGCATGTCGCAATATTCCATTCGGCAAATATTGAAAAATGAGCTCGGAGTTAAGCCATTGAAATTCCAAAAAGTGCAAGGACTTACACCGCAACAGAAAGAAAATAGACTCAAAAGAGTTTAAGAGATGCTGCGCTTGGCCGAAAGTGATGAACTGCCGAATTTATTTTTCTCCGATGGGAAAACATTCATTGTCCAGCAATTTGTAAACAAACAAAATGATCGTGTTTACTTGCTGAAAATGTGCACCTTCGGATGGCCAGCAGAACTCAAGCGCCGGCAATGGTTATGGTGTTGGCCGCCCTAACAGCCGATGGATGCTCTCCGCTTGTATTAATCGACCGTGGCATCAGAATAAATGCCGAATATTATGGCGAAAATATTCTGGAGGGTGTATTAAAGCCTAGGGCACGCAAATATTTTGGCCGCAGACCTTCCCACTCAGCACGCACAACCCAAGAATTTTTACAAAATGAGGTTCCTCTCTTCATTTCCACAATGGCACAAGGGCCACCAAAATCTCCGGATACCAATTCGTTGGACTATTGTGCCAGCGCACAATGGCCACCAAATTCTCCGGATACCAATTCGTTGGACTATTGTGTCTAAAGTATTTTGGAAAGCAAGGTTGGCACTAAAAAATACCAAAGTTTCGATCACCTCAAGCAAGGGCTTCACCGGGAATGGGCCAAAATACCGCAGAGCAACATTCGGGCAGCGTGTGACCGTTTCATTAGCCGTTTGAAAGCCATAATTCGTACCAAAGGTGACCAATTCGAACAAATTAAAACTTATTCTAAGATTTAATAAAATAAAATTTAAAAAAAAAAAAAAATGTAAAAATCAAGGCGTTTAACTTTGTTGCATTGATTTATCTCACCCTGATTGGACACTTGAAGTTGCAAACTTTTTTGCCCAATCAAACTTAAAAACGCACCTACTAAAAGTGTTGTGAGGAATAAAAGTCCTGAACTTTGAATTATTAATACTTGCATGCCAAAAAAAAAATATATAAAAATATTAAACATTTAAAAAAAAAAAAACTTTATGTCCAGAAGTAATGGATTTTAAGGATAAACATTAAGGATATTCTTGAGAACGTTGTGGATTTCAAAGACTTTATACGAAAAAAGTAATGAGTTGATTTTATTAAAGAGCTCCCAGGCAACAAAGTGGTGATATTTCTGTTAAATACATTTTTCAAGGACTATCAGGACAAAAAAAATGTGAACATTTTCAAAAGTCTATATGACCAAGGACTTTTTGAAATTGTGGATTTTTGATAGTTCCTCAAGCATTTTCTGGTAAGACATCGTGGATTTCACGCAAGAATATTATTGAATTTTTCCTTCAAATTATGTTCAGGGGCTTCCTATGTGATGAGACCTACAGAAGGCTATGACCTTCATATGATGGTCTTCTTAATCTGAAGGGCGTACAGAAGGTCTCTTATGTATTAAGCACATGCAGAAATTATTTTTTATCTGGATGGCAAAAGATCTGCTACATGTCTAAAGGAGAAACATGGAAGTTCTGAAGTACGCTAGTTGAACCTAAATATTTCGAAATTCATTTCTGTGGACTCCCTGGAGTCCAAGAATTATTGAAAGAAAATACTCTTTGTACGGAAAACATGTAAATGCCCTTTATGTATGGAAGACCTATAAAAGGTCTTTAGAATATTAAAGCCAATAGAAGATCGTGTATGTATAAAATACCTGGGTTCAGTGTAGGTATTCAACCTATTGGATATAGCCATGAGCACCTCCTAATTTCAGGTCCAATTTTCGATGGAATAGCATGTAATAACAACGGACTTAAGATATTGTGAAGGTCCTGCCACATTTCCCAGTCTAAGCGGCTTAAATCTTAAATCTTTAAATTTTAATATTCAGAAAATGTCTTTGAAATATTTTTTAAGAATTTCCAAAATTTTAAAGGCTACAATATGACAAATTTTTCAAATTTTTGGAACCACTGAGTTGATCATAATTTTAAATGTCATGTGGTTAATTCGAGTTTTAAGTGACTTTGTCGAAATAAAGATCTGAACCTATCTATATTTAGAATCTCTGACAAAGACTTTTTTACATAAACCAAATCCCAAAATAAGTCGAAAGTTTTCTAGAAAATGTTGATATCAGACACCACAAGAATGTGTAGATCAATAGTATGACTCGTTTATGATTACTAATTTCCCAAAAATTATAAATTGAACTTCAGCACAAACTTTTCCTGAGTTCAAGGCAATCATGACAATCTACGGCAAAAACAGAATGGAAACTATAATATATCCCGACTCTTATAGTAGGCGTTTTTGAATGGAATCATTCAAAATTTGAAGGGGCTATAAAATATTCTTTATATAGGTTGTCAACGTAATAAGCACATTTCCATTTTCAATATATTTCCAATAAATATTGAAATTTATTTAAATAAATAAATGTAATTAAAAATAAATACAACAAAATGAATATATTATTCAGGAAGAGATAAGGAGATATTCCCAAAAAAAAATTAAAACGAATCAGGAAGACCAAAAAAAAACGAACAACCCCCGCCAGGTGAAATGTGAGTAAAATAAATAAATAACAATAACAACAAATTAAATATAAAAAAATTAAATTGTTATTTTTTTCTCTTCGGGACACAATGGGCAGCCAAATATTCCACTGTCATCAGATGTTCTGTGATTGCTGGATAATTCACATGAATTAATCAGTGGAAGTAAAACAGCAGTTTTATACGAAGAGATTCGTTGAGGCGATAATGTTGTGTTTTATTTGTTTTTCTTTTTGTTTTTAATTTATTTATTAGCATGTCTTTCGACCTTTTTGCTTTTCCCTTTCGCATCACTTCCATTTAAAGGAAGCTCTTTCTTTATATGGAGATGCTATAACTTAAATTAATCATTGCGAGTAAAATTATTCAATACCCAATCGGGATCTTTATCTCGAAATCACTGCATCTCGCCAAAAACCACCCTAATTATTTGAAGCGAATATTTCAAATTCTTGTTAATTAGCAATTTACGTCATGGGTGCATTTAAAATCGCTAAAAGCATCATTTATGCGATCAGATGAAGGGGCGTGTGTGCGCGCTAATTGATTTGTAGGTGACGTATAAAAGCTTCAAACTTAGTACTCAGCTGCTGCATTTTCATTCGATGAGAACGCACCTATCATAAGAGACATATCAATATTTCCTTTAGCCCCTACACTGAGTAGTATACAGGGTGAGATAAAAAAATTGCAAGAAAGTCAAACGCCGTAATTTTTACATATATTTTTAATTTTATTGAATGTCAGAAAAAAAATCAAAATTTAGAATAAGTTTAGATTTCTTCAAATTGGTCACCTCTGGAACGAATTATGGCCTTCAAACGGCCAATGAAACCGTCATACGCTTCCCGAATGTTGCTCTGCGGTATTTTGGCCCATTGCCGGCGAAGCGCTTGCTTGAGGTTATCGACACTTTGGTATTTTTAAGTGCCAATACCTGCTTTCTAAAATATTCCAGACACAATAGTCCAACGGATTGGTATCCGGAGATTATGG